GTCATAGAGTTCTTGATTCTAGATGGATTTTAAGGTATCATATTATAGAGCAAAGCAAGCTCTACAAGATGGTACTTCTTGCTTTCGCAAAATTTCAGACCCAGTTTCAGTTTGAAGCCAAAAAAACCAAAAAGATCCAATCGCTCGAAAAATAAAGGAAAAATCGTAACTCATTCCAAAAAAAATCCTAGAAAATTCTTAACTTGCTCACAGATACGCTATCCACGTCAGACATTTATATTTACCGTTGCTGTATTTTTTTCCTAACATGAAATCAAGAAAAACGAAATTTTCATGTTTTTGCCAAAGATGCTGTGCTGTCCCCACATTGGTAGTCGTTGTACTACAAAGCTGTAAGTGGACAGACGTGAATTTTCAGAGCCTACAGTCTTAGTTCTCGAGATATGGATTTGTTTTCGCTTAGTCGGGGTTGTCCCATACTAAAACGGATATTTCTCGAGAACTAAGGCCTACGCACGGCTGAGAATGCATGTCCTGTACAGTTTTGTAGTACGACTACCAATGTGGGGACAGCACAGAATCACTTTGGCAAAAACACGAAAATCTCGTTTTTTCCGATTTCTATCCAAAGAACAAATACCGTAACAGTATATATTTATGTCTGATGCGGATAGCGTATTTGTGAGCAAAATAGGAACTTTCTAGAATTTTTTTCTTGAAAAGAAGTTACGATTTTTTTTATTTTTTCGGGCAATTGGATCTTTTGGTTTTTGTCTTCAAACGCAAGATGATTTTGAACTGGTGCAAAAGTGAGAATGACTGGTAAAGTATGGTAGAGCTTGCTTTTGCTCTATCGAATGATATCTTGAAGTCCATCTAGAATCAAGAACTTCATGACTTATTGCGATTGAAATTTAAAACAGACGGAATTTTTGGGACAACTTGATATATTAGGTTACATAACTCTTGCGAAAAAATTTTATACGTAATTTTTTTCCAAATTAGAGCTTTACGCTTGAAATAGCATTATTTAGAAGGAGAGCAAAACTTCACTCTCTCTGGAGCTTTAAAATTTTCTTCCACTATTCCGTGTACCTACCGTAACCCTCACTACGACGTCAGAATTCAACAGAAGATAGCTGCACTTAGAGCTTGAGTTGGCTTACATATTGGCATTTGAGTGTGCCAATGCTCAAAAAGAGAAAAGCTAGAACAAATTTGTGAAACTTATTTAACAGCCTAATAAATAAGAAGCTCATGTGCAGAGGATAAATAAAGACCTCGTTCGTAACTCACTCTTTCAAGAGCCACCTTTCTTTCATGTGGACACCATCGACTATAAGCAGTGGCGGTTTCAGGATTTCGAACCGGGAGGGGGGGGGGGGCGAAAAACTTTCTGAGTGAAGGTGCGTGGCGTTTTGGGGATGCTTCCCAAAATTTTTTGCACCAATAACCCCGAAGTATTAGATAAATTTTTTTACAAGGCTAATTTGAATTTTTTAAAGTTTTTTGAAATTATTCTAATTCTAAATACAAGTATAAAAAAGTCACCTGCACATTTTTGTAACCCACATAAGTAATTTTTGAAAATTTCGCGCTCCATTTTCGGGGAAGGGGAAGGGCTCTCTTATAGCGTTTCTACTTAGTGGCCTTATAGCCAGTGGCGGTCCCCTTTCGGACCGCCACTAACTATGAGGCACCTTGTAATAAGTAGAAACGCATTTTCCTCTAGATTTGATGAACGCTTTCCAGATCTTCATATGAAACTTTGCTCCAAGGATGCCGCAAAAATCACAGAGACCATAGGCAGACCTTCGTTGATTTCGGTCAACGACACTCTTTAAGTGACCATTTAGTGCTTTTTCAATGCACTACTAAATAGTCACTTAAAGACCAATCAATTTAATACCATAGCCGCTTGTCATTATTGCTTTTAATTTTTGTAGACTCTACCACCCTTTAACAAAACTTACCAACTTGCGCAAAAAACTAGAAATTATTGATAGGCAGGCTATACTCGTTATACAGGATGCCTTTTCCGACCAGTGGGCTTGTAACTTAAAATTTCATACGAAAATTAAATTTCCAATATTTTAGTGCAGTTTTCGCAATTGTGTGATGGATGATCACAGATGCTTCGCGTTAGAAAATTTATGTGTAAAGCGTTAGGCCTAAGGCATACCTTTTGCGATCCCAGTCGCGTCGCTTTTTCCAACTCGGACATATGTTCCGAGTCCGCAGCGCACCCCCCCCCCCCCCCATGTGTGGTCCCGCCGCGTCTGCGATAGAGTGACGCCGCGACGAATCGCGGATTGTTTTTGGACGGGCATACCTAAAGTAGAGAAATTGTTGCGACATTCGCTAAACTCAGCGATGTCGCCGTCGCTAGTTCCGACCCAGCGATGGACGAATCGCTCGAATGGCTTCACCTTTTTGAGAAGTTTTGTATTTTTCGCAAATCCTTGCAGTATACCTAATGATAAGAGAGTGCAAAATAAAAAAAGGCAGCGGGGTGCTGTGCTGGAGCTCGCGGAGACAGCAGACAGCAGTGATGCACTTTCGTCTGACGGGGGTCCCCCCCTCTGCGCCGCCGAGGCGGGGGTCCCCCCCTCCGCGCCGCCGGGTGGGGGGCTGCTGGAGCTAGCGGAGACAGCAGACAGCAGAGATTAAACATTCGTCTGGCCGGGGTCCCCCCTCTGCGCCGCCGAAGCGGGGGTCCCCCCCTCCGCGCCGCCCCTTTCTTTGAACAGATAAACATCCGTCTGGCGGGTTGTTTATCGCCGCCCGTGATCTATAAATTCCGAGGCCTGTTCTTAGACGATGTTGATCAAATGGCATATGGATGGCATAACCCAAAAGCGAATCACTACGCAAGCTAATTTTCGTATAGTTCGAAGCGCTTTGACACTTACAAAAGCAACTCAACTTTCATTGTTGGTGCAGGTTAGTTTACAATTTGATATAGATCATTATTATCATTATATTTGTTCAACTAGCGGTCTGGTAAGCGGCACGTAGGGCAACTCGAACGGGCAGGGGAAACAGATTTTCATACGCTTGGGGCAGTTCTTATAATTTTTAAAACGTTCTTCAAGCGGCACTTAGGGCATAAATTTTCATTTTAAATAGTTAGCAACTCGATCGTGCAGGGAAACAGATCTTTATATACGCTTGGGGCAGTTCGTATAATCTTTGAACGGTCTTCAAGCGGCACTTAGGGCCA